TCTGCATATGATCGGAGCTCCACGCAGCTCCTGCGCTACTCTCCTCTCCATTGGAAATGAATAACTTCCGGTCTGTCGCTTGTCGTTTGTCGGAGATAGTGGAAAGCTGGCTTGAAACAAAGTGGAAATGCCAGTATGACGAGGATCGTTTTCATTTTAAAACAAAAACGCACCAGTGTAAATGTAGCCTTACATCTAAGGGGGCTGGGACGCATTCACACTGCAGCCTCACGTGTGAGCCACATCTCTGAGTGTAACCGGTGACGTGCACCGACTGCAGACCGATCGGTGTATTACAGTACCACTAGAGCTATAGAGAGCAGACTGCTCCGTGAGCTTTCGAATCGCTCTCGCGGATGTCAAGATCGATCTGCACTGCGCCTCTAGTCCAACACACCGGCTAGTGCTGCAGGCTTATTGGCTCACTGACGCTGATGAGATTAACCCCTTAGGTATCGAAATTTGGTACCGAACGACAAGACGTTTTTTTGGTACTCGATGGTATCGAGGCAATTCGGTCGGTGCCTAAAAAGTATCGAACTCGATACCCAGCCCTATAAATGAATGACCAAAATGCATAAAAACTCGTCAGTTATTACTTGAAAACGGTGTCGTGTAAACAGCCCCTTAGAGTCGTAGATGTCTTTAGCTTAGCAACATGCTAATGTCAAACTCTACTGGAATCAGTTTTCACTCAAGTTTCCCATGTGCTTCATGTGAGAAGTGATATTTGTGTGGCACAAGCCAACGAAGAGCGTTCCAAATCAATCACTTTTGAGGTTCCTTTTCAGTTGCGATGCTGCCTTGGATGATACTTCTTGTGTAGGCAGTAGACAGCAAGTTCACTAGGTATAAAGGGATGAAGGAATGAGCCCTAAAACCCAGAAATAAGTGTTTTAGCACTTCCAGTCCCATCGTCCTAAAGTCAATGGGTTTTTTGGTTGAATGCCTGAAATAAGGTCTGTGGTGAACACAAGCTCAAGATATTTTCACATATTATTCTACAACATAAAATACATCAATTATACACTATGCATGATTTTTTTTTACGCTTTTATGTGCAATTGTATTTAGGCTTCAAAATTTTAAAAACGTTCATTTCTGAAGATTACTTTGATGAAAATGTGTAAGAATCATGAACTCTTTTTGGTCACAGAGCTTATTTTCCGCAGTAATCCAAAAACCATTTGAAAAATCCTATTGGGTTTTTGTCATGGGAACCAGGGTAATGCTAACTTTAATGTTGTCCAACAAAAATATGTCACCCTTGCAGCACTCTATCGCAATACAGTTTGAATCTTATGTAGCCTTTTGATTATTGGAACTAAAGCCTAGCATCTTATTCTGGCCAAGAACTGTTCTCTTAGGCATTCCCATTTTTTTTGAACATGCACCAACCTGTCCCTGAACCTTCCCTGGAGTGTGAAGCTGAGACTAACATTCACCTGCCAGCTTCAGTTCCAGCTCTACCACACTGTATGAACTGCTATTGTTCTATCCTTCAATGGGTTTCATGGTCTAACGAGCAATGCCAGCAAGTCCAACAGCCGCCAATAGCGCAGTGAATCAAGCACAGGCGTTCAATGAGCCCTGATTTAGAGTAACAGTAATTTATTTGGTCTCCCGAGGGCCTGACTCACTGCACTGGGCCTCGGTTTAGCCAGATGGCCTTGTCAAAGGCTCTTAGCTAAATAAACACAATATAATTCGATATCCAAGAAGGCAAAGACTGACATTCCAGCCTGACATATCTGGCCACCTTGCTTTCACCTACAGGAAGACTATAAGCAGTAATGATGGAAGCACTAATATATTTTTCAATATTTGTTACTGTATTGTAAGTGTATTACTATCAGTTGGGTTATGCTGATTTTAAATCATGCCTATCTCTCTTTCCAGCCTGAGTTAAATGGCACGTCCTCTTCTGGCTCTCTCCATCAGGATACAGCAGGACAGGCCGAGCTCACAGGTATAGATACACACACACACAATGCTGGGTGAGCGCTCTGATTGACTTCTTTATGTAATAATCTGCTGAGTGTATTCTGTGTGTGTCCTCAGATGAGCTTCTTCATCAGTGTGCTAACAGTAACTCTGATCTGGCTGAGGTTGTGGAACAGATTAACCACAGTTTTCCTGCATGCTCTCGTAAGTCTAACGCTCGGATTTTCCCGCTCTCAATCTATCTCTCAGCATGCCAGCTAATACTCGGCTGTCTTCTGGGTTTTTGACCTCCTTCCGTCCTTATTTGCCAGGGTGCAGTGAAGTCTTTGGCTGCATCCCAGTAGTGCGCAACAGTCGGGGTCTGGAAAAAAAAAATCCCATTCAATTTCCTTCATAGAGAAATTTAATTGCGTAATTTCCAGTGAGGTACTACACTACCCATAATCCTGAAGAGAGATCCACCAATCAGAAGTGACTGAAAACATGGAATTGCTGAACAGCAGCCATTGCCTTAAAGCATTACTAATAACAATTAAATATTGTATATTTGTATATTTTGGAAAACTGTATGATAAACTTATTTAGAGTCAATCATTTTATATTGGTCCCATATAATATTTATGTACTATTATAGTATTTATTAATATTTGGAATTAGCTTTTATATTTATATTTTCATTTTAGTTTTAGCAATTATATGTGCTAAATATTTCTATTTAGATGTAATTTATTTTAGTTTTAGTCATTTTAGTACTTCAACGCGTTTCATTTAGTTGTCAATTTCAGTTTTTCATGTAATATTTATATTTTATTTCAGCTTCATTCCAATCAATTTTGAAAATGTTTTGAATAGTTTTAGTTTAGTTTAAGTTAACAATAACACCGGTAGCGTGCTCCAGATTTGATTACGTAATTTTCAATACTTGTGCTTGAGCTTTACTTCATTGCATTTTTGGGGAAAAAAACTGCTTCTACCAGCCGAAGGTAATTCACTAGTCTTGTTTAAACTGGTATAGTTTGACTCCCAGTCTGACAAGCTAACAAATGCTCAAAACCCATCTACAACCATCCAACCAGACCCATCTGTCCTGTCAGACCAGCTCACTACCTTAGGCTGGATTTATCTTGGAGATAGTGTTTGGTTTATTGCTTAAAACTGACTGTTTAATTCTTGAAATGCCTATGAAGAAACTGAATGAGAAAAATACTTCCAGAACCAAGCCTGCTGAAAAAGTGTGCATACTCTACTACAGGGGTGTCCAACCCTGCTCCAGCACACCTGTCTGTAATTATCAAGCAACCCTGAGCATCTTGATTAGCTGGTTCAGGTGTGTTTAATTGGGGTTAGAGCTGAAATCTGCAGGATGGTAGCTCTCCAGGAGCAGGGTTGGACACCCCTGCTCTACTACATACTAAAAATATGTACTTCACCAGTACATACTTTTACGTACACAGTAAGCTAGAATTGAAAAATACTAACATGCTATTGTTGGTGCACTGTTTGGGTTTGCATCTTCGCATTAGCATATATCTGCAATCATTTTTACCTCACATTAAGGTAAAGTGTCATGAAACCCTCCATCACTTCTCAACACAGTGAAAGAGTTAGGAGTGGAGGGGAGGAGAGAACACAACCGTTGTGTCTGATCCACGCTGTTTTATTTTGCTTTAATAGCATCAAAGAAATGCATGCTAGTATTCATAATTGCACTCAACAAAATGCCCTGTATTATGAGTTCACAGTGCATTACACAAATACACACAGCTTCTTTTATTGCACTAATAAATGCAAGCCGTTTTCAGTTGCATCAAAAAAGTGAATGTGCATTTGCATTTTTAATAACTTTTGTTATTCCTTGATCTTGACTCAGTGAAAGTGTTGTGATGGTGTTTGTGTTATCAGATCTCAGATCTGTCTCAGTCCACCACTTCGTGAATCTAGGAAGTCTCACATGATAACTGCTCATTGCACTCAAACATTTCAAAGCTGCTGGTTGATTGAAAGACTGTCGCTCCATCAGCATCACAAGCGAGGACGCAGACTCGAGTCTTGCATGTGTTTCTGTAAGATATATAAGGATAAATCCATGCAGTCACATGAAAAATAACGAGGCGCTGCTAATGCTTTCGTGCAATATAGTGTGACTTTTTGAACCAGAAAATAGCTAAGAATTTCCCTAATGACAGATTGACTCTAATATTGTTTCATTGCCCACATTCTTTTTGCTTTACTACACAATTGTTTAAGTCGAAACAGACTCGGGTATGAAATTAACACCTGCCACAATCTGCATGCAGGTATTTTCTGTGCAGTGACGGGTAATTTCGCTCATCTTCCAGCCATTGTGACAGGTGACCTGTAAGACATCTCGAGATGACAGTTGACAAACAATGTGTTACGCAGAAGCAGCCATGCATGCTTGAAGATGCCATCCAATTATGTGATGCATTGCACTGTATTACAGACCAGCCCTAGTATTTAGGATAGACAGTATTCAAATTGGTTCACACCCTCTGTCCTATTCTCATTTTCTTTCGCATAATTGCTAACGCCAATCAAACGATTTTGCCCTACAACAATAGAAATCCTTTACAATCCCAGAAATGCGTCTCAGATGGCAGTATTGTAGAGTGTGCACTGGGCTTTAGCCACTTTATTAGTTTATGTATCTTCATTAATTGAAATAGACTTCTAGTAAATCATTGCTACACAACTTTTTTGCTCAAAATCCATCTGAAATTTTAGACGAAAATCAATTTCAATCTGGTTGCCTCTTCCTCTATATAAACCGTTGTTACCGCCATCCCAGAATCCCTCATCTTACGACTGTCAGTCTGCCAGCTCCAGCACTCTTCTGCCTTTGAGAACTCCCCCATTTCTGCATTCTGAGAGCTTTGATTGTGAATTGTGTTTGTAATCACTGTCGTTTGGAAGAAAATTGCATAGCGAAGCCTTTAGAGACACCATTTTGTGTAATGGCTCGCGACTTGAGAGTTTTTCTTACCTAGAAGTTACTGATAAGATTTTATTGTTATTGTTGAACTTAAATTTGAATTCCGCCCAGACTTTGGCTTGCATTGTTAGCTACACTCTAAAAAATGCTGGGTTAAATACAACCCAGTGCTGGGTGAAATAGGGACAAACCCAGCAATTGGGCTGTTTTGACCCAGCGGTTGGGTTACTACCCAGAAGGTTGGGTTAAACATTTAACCCAACCGGCTGGGTCAAAACAGCCCAATTGCTGGGTTTGTCCCTATTTTACCCAGCACTGGGTTGTATTTAACCCAGCATTTTTTAGAGTGTAGAAACTCTGTAAAATATTGATGTTGGCACATTGTCGTTTCACTGCATTGGGCCCTTGTGTGCGATGAGATTCGGTCTGGGAGAAGATATGGGGCCATTTCCATGTTCTTTGTTTGATGGGAGAGTTTTAATGAAGGCACAGGTGATATGAGTGTTCGGAGCCGTCTCACTCTTGTTTGCTGTCGTCTCCCTGTAGAGTTCATTAAAGCGCTGCGATCAGTGTTCAGAAGAGTAATCCCATGAGTCTGAGCTTGAACGCTCTAAATTAAAAGTTCAGCCGTTGTGGAGAGTCTGCATGTGTTGTTCTTGTCAGGACTGTCTTGGTTAGGATAGCTGTTATTTTGTCCTAATTGTGTCTCTCTTTGTCTTTCCCTTCTGGGTCCTGTAGCGTCAAGTGTGTCCTCAAGGCCGAAGGTAAGTCTCACCACACGTAACAGTAAAAGCACAGTAATTCACACTGACCACAAAGAGAAAAGGAAAATCTGCAATGCCATTTTACCATCAGTCCTCACCTGTTTTCTTATCTAATCTCCTTGCAAATGAGTCTGAAAGCATGGGGCATTTTTGTTCCCTGCTCCATTAATTTGCTTGCACCAGCTCGGATGGAAACATTATCAATCGTGGTTCTGTTAAGGAGAAATTCATTTTTAATTGGTGTTTGTTTTTACGAGCCATCATTGGATGTAAACATCTTAGTGACAAGCTTGTATGAGAAGATCCATCACAGCCGAACGATTGGCAGCTCCATATGTCATGTTTCTGTGATGATTTATTGACTGGTTTTATTTGAAGAAGTTGGGTTTGAAGCATTTGCATAGTCAAAAGTATAGTAAGTGAGAATAAAGTTATTACACTCTTAAAAATGAAGGTTCCAAAAGTTTCTTTTTCTTTTTATGGACCATTGATGCCAGTTAAGAATCTTTATTTTTAAGAGTGTATTCAGGAAAGTTTCATTAAGGTTGGTTCCTTTAACAGTTCTGAAATGCTATTACATTAAGACTCACAAAACTCATGACATATCTGAATATGAAAATTATTCACTTTCACTTACTGAATTAGTAGTTACTTACTCAAGGCATTCATTTAATGAGTCCTAAAACCCAGAACCCAATTAGCTTTTTTTGAACTTCTTCAATCATCAAAGTCAATGGTTTTTGGTTAAAGGCCTGAAATATGGTCTATGGTTAACAAACTCAAGATATTTTCTCGTTGTGGCCAAATAAGACCGCAGAAGTTGTCTGAGGATATTTAACAACATCACGCCGAAGAAATAAATGCATCTACTTACTAGTCTGCTTTTACAGCCTTGATGTGTTTATATTTGCGCTCTTGCAAACTAATATAACTCAAACTTTCCAACTTGTAGATTTGAAATAAAGTGTTTTCGGAGGCTTAGTGATGTTGAAGTCATGTGATCATGGTGTAGTTTGATCACAGCCTACGTTTAGCTTTTAAAGGAACACGCCACTATTTTTGAAAATAGGCTCATTTTCCAACTCCCCTAGAGTTAAACAGTTGAGTTTTACCGTTTTCGAATCCATTCAGCCGATCTCCGGGTCGCCGATATGGCTAGGAACTATACTCTCATTCCGGGCGTAATAATCAAGGAACTTTGCTGCCGGACTATGGGTGCAGCAGGCGCAATGATATTACACAAAATCGCAAACTACTGGCAATTGTTTTTAGGCTTCAAAATTCATAAAAGTTGTGTATTTTGTTGAGGAAAGCAGGGTGATGCCAACTTCCCGGTTGGCCTTTAAAAATACATAATTTCTACAGCACTCTATTTCATATGGTCAGAATAGTTGATTCCCATGCTTAGCTCATGTATTATAGACACTTAAACAATTATGAATGTTTGTGTCCAGGTGATGTGAAGGTTTTCAGCAAAACATCACTTTGGAAATCTTGCGGACATGAAGAGCAGTCTCGAACTCGACATGACAAGAAGATTCCCGTTCCAGAGATGCAGATTCCCGGCTGTTCCCTCGACAGAGATATTTGTCCTCGAACCCAAAGACTCTGGAACAGGACCACACAGTTCATTCATTGGCTATTACTACTGCGTCTGTCTGTACTATGCAACTGTACATTTGATCAACATGTAGATTGTACGTGGTGAGGTGTATCTGCCCATTGTTTTAATATTCGGATGATTATTTAGGGTTATGGGGGCCATTTATCGTATAACCTGTATGCTTTTATTTCTGCGTTCACCAAGAAACCACACTGCTACCACATATCTCACATTCAGCTCATATCAGTTGCTGTTCAAACTGACACGTTGTCTTTCTACAGACGTGGTTATTAGTTGAATCAGAAAACGATGTGAACATCAGTGGATATGAAGACGAATCGATCTCGTAATGCTAAACTGTTAGCGCATGTTGCCCCCCCAGCATTATTCTCTTCAACTTTAGCCTGTTTTGACAGTGTTTGCCGTGAACTCTCCCTTTAAAGCATTGTTTCGACAGTTTGTTCCGCGGGTAGCAGCGCATCTGAACCCTCACTGCATTTCTAGAGCGCACGCACAGATGATGTACAACACAAACATTCGAACGCGTCGAAAACACCCTTTTGTGCCTATAAAGCATCCATTCCAGGAGAGACGAGTGGCTGAGAGATGCCGTATTTCTCAAAATTATGTAGAAAGATTATATTATAAAAAGACAAATGTAGGAAATGGGGATTTTTAGGACGTTTGGCCCAAGATGATTTATCTTTGTGTAGTATAGTTTTATAAATAAATGTTTAAAAAAATTTAATTAGAGAAAGCCATGATTGCCTTGCTACCTCAGACATGATCAGTCATTCATTGGTGTGACTGTCGATTGATTTCACTCTCCACTTCCAAAAACAAAACTAAGGAAAGGTCGTTCCATAATGTTGCACTTGCTACGCAAGTAAGCTGCCCCGATGACTACATTGTGTTTTTCCCTTGATTTCCCAGCAGTCCTTTGATTTTTCTACATGGTGTATTTGTGGTGTGCTACCTTCAGTGAAGTGTTAGATTTGAACATTACTGGAACACCTGCGAAACATTGTTCTGAAGTTGATTCCTAGTGAAGTCACTGTCACCGACGCTGTGCTGTTCTGACCCGAGATAGATCGATAAGACCGAACACACTACATGTAATGAGGTTCCATATGTTTTATTCAAAATAAAGTTTTTATAATGAGTGTTTTCTTGTGCTTTTTGTCTCATATTGTCTTGTTACACTAAGGGGAGAAAGTTATAATGGAATAGTTTTAAGGTTCATTTTCCATTGTCGTTCCAAAACATTTCTTTCTTTCTTTGGAACACAAAAGAAGATATTGGGTAGATTGTTCATGTTGCTCTTTTTCATACAGCGTAAGTGAATACAGTCAAGCTCCAAAAATGACAAGAAGCAACCTAAAATGATTGTAAAAGTAGTAAGAGACCTGTTTGTTATATTCCAAGATCCTTAAATAACTATAGGTTTGAGCAACAACATTTGTGTTTCAGCACACTATGAAACAATTCAGAAAAATTCTTTTTGAAATATGAGGATCTGGAAAGCAAATAGCAATTAACCACACAACAGTTAAATGTAATAAACAAAGGAGTAAATTGGTTGACGTAAGCCTTGTTAGTCAACATAAAATCAGATTTTAACCATTGGACTCTTAATGCAGTATGTTATTTTGCACAACTTCAAATAAAATGTTTTGTACTGAACACAGCTTATGCTTGTCAAAGTATATTTCTGCATGTCAGGTAAATTGGTTTTAATGTCAAGAATATTAGCCATGAATTATTAAATGAAGCATTTTTTTCTTAAATTGGCCGCTGCGCTGTAGGGTAAATGTCAGTGGCTCTACTAATAGTACCTGTGCACTTTGCCTGGGAACAGGCAGGAAATACTATTAGACTGGTGAATTGAAAAAGCTCGAGGGCAGGGGTGTCAGGGCCAAATTTGTTTCTAAAAATCAGAGCGAGCACTTACAAACACAAGGCCGCCATTCAAAGGAAATGAAAACGATTTTTTTTTCTTACAAATGTAGGGGGAAAAAACAAGACAAACAAGCTTCCGCAGGCTCAAAGAAGCAATATTTCATATTTCACTATAACCTTGTTTGCATTGTGAATGTAAAAAGTGGCACAGTTTACCCATCTTGACTAGATTTATATTAGTCTGCGGGGCTGCTGTAGCACCTCATATGAACCTGCTCTATCACAAGCTTCAGCCTGCCTCAGCTGAACGAAGAGGGAAGATTTTCACAATGCTTTTCCTTCACAGCACAATTCTCCGGTGAGTGATTTTATTAAAAAAACATCTAATATCCATATATTGTTGCAGTGTGTCTCTGCTGGGGTCTGCTTACTGAATTCAACATTAATGCACAATTTACTATATTTACTTTAACACATCCCTTATTGTACAAGATTCATCAGTTCACGTTATTCCAAATAAAATAAAATAAAAGTTTTAGTAATTTAGTAAAAAGTTTTAGTAATCTTTCATCAAAATGTTATAACTTGCTCATGAAATGTTCCTTTTCTGCTATCACAAATTTTGTCCCAAGAGGACACTGGTTTTGTTTACAGCAAAGTAAAACCAGTGTCCTCTTGGCTTATATCGAAATCCTCCGACATTTTCCTTTACAGATCCTCGTTTTGTACTTCTAATTTGTGACCGGTGATTTGTTTTGCTCTCTCCTCTGCGCTTCCGCGTTGATCACTTCTCATCAGAGCTTAGGCTACACTTACATCATCCGCTGGAACGCCACTCTCTCATGAACACGAGTATGACAGTTAGCGCGTTATTCCAAATAAAATTAAATAAAAGTTTTAGTAATTTAGTAAAAAGTTTTAGTTTTAGTAATCTTTCATCAAAATGTTATAACTTGCTCATGAAATGTTCCTTTTCTGCTATCACAAATTTTGTCCCAAGAGGACACTGGTTTTGTTTACAGCAAAGTAAAACCAGTGTCCTCTTGGCTTATATCGAAATCCTCCGACATTTTCCTTTACAGATCCTCGTTTTGTACTTCTAATTTGTGACCGGTGATTTGTTTTGCTCTCTCCTCTGCGCTTCCGCGTTGATCACTTCTCATCAGAGCTTAGGCTACACTTACATCATCCGCTGGAACGCCACTCTCTCATGAACACGAGTATGACAGTTAGCGTAAACTAGAGATTACGGTTTATAAAGTTGAAATATGGATACTTTTCTTACATAAGCGCATCGCTTCGGATCAGAAGGCCTTTATTAACCCCCCGATTGGGGGGGGGGAAATAGTGATTTCGCCTAGGGCGTCAAATTGGCTAGAAACGGCCCTGCCTAGGATGGCTTGAGGGTGAGTAAATTATCATAATTTTCATTTTGGGGTGAACTATCCCTTTAAGTGTCCCTGTCAGTTCACGTTCAAAAGAGTAAACATCAGGGACGTAGAAATGTGCGCAGCTGAAAATGTGCATTTTGTTGTGGAGAACAGTATCTAGCACAACGTGCATGTGTATCTTTCCACAAAGGACGTGTATAGCTGATAAAACACTGTACCTTTGCTAATATGATGTTTCAAACAGGCTTGGCTCAGATATTTCCAATCTATAAATCCATCACCGCAGGTGGTCTGGTTTCATTTGTAGACTGTCCGAATTCACTGCTAAAACTTCGTTTCAATTGGGATATCCAATATATACTTTCTAAAGACTGATATTGATATTTGTTACACTATTTTCAAATTAAACGTTACAAACGTGTGCTGGAAAGAATTTATATTATATATATATATATAATTTGGGGGGGGCAATAGGGATTTCGCCTAGGGCGTCAAATTGGCTAGAAACGGCCCTGCCTAGGATGGCTTGAGGGTGAGTAAATTATCATAATTTTCATTTTGGGGTAAACTATCCCTTTAAGTGTCCCTGTCAGTTCGCGTTCAAAAGAGTAAACATCAGGGACGTAGAAATGTGCGCAGCTGAAAATGTGCATTTTGTTGTGGAGAACAGTATCTAGCACAACGTGCATGTGTATCTTTCCACAAAGGACGTGTATAGCTGATAAAACACTGTACCTTTGCTAATATGATGTTTCAAACAGGCTTGGCTCAGATATTTCCAATCTATAAATCCATCACCGCAGGTGGTCTGGTTTCATTTGTAGACTGTCCGAATTCACTGCTAAAACTTCGTTTCAATTGGGATATCCAATATATACTTTCTAAAGACTGATATTGATATTTGTTACACTATTTTCAAATTAAACGTTACAAACGTGTGCATTTGACACCATTTAGACAAGCATATGGTATGCATATATAGGAAGAGGGAAAATGAAGAAACTGCCTGTAATTGACTATGAAAACTTAAGTTTATTTATTTTTTTAAACTAAATATATATAGTATAATAAGACATTTGTTATTATTATCGTTTAATAAATTACATCCATTTGGAAAATTACCAATTTCTCACTGGGTGGGCCAGAGTTGAAGTGGGTGTGTCCGTGCCCAGCTTCGCCACTGCTTCATATGTATTCTCACTCATAACTCTGGAAGCCTTCTCTCTCCTCAGCCCTCATCCATCTGCAGGGCATTAAGAGCAGATCTGTCCAGGGCTCATGGAGTATATATCCTTCAAGTGGAGTCAGAAATAGTGTAAAAATGAATTCTTAGCACATAAATGACCGTGCAAAGTCGTATTTATAAGTGGGAAACTCTGTAGCTGATACACAAGTTGCAGAGTTCTGACGTTGGAGGGAACGTGTCGATTTAAAACATAGTAGAAACACTGAACTACAATACAAACGTCATACCCCCTTTTCCCTTCAGAACTGCCTTTTTGGCATAAATTCCACAAAGTACTGGAAACATTTCTCAGAGATTTTGGTCCATTTTGACATGATAGCATCATGCAGTTGCTGCAGATTTGTCAGCTACGCATCCATGAAGCAAATCTCCCGTTCCGCCATATCCTAAAGTTTCCCTATTGGATTGAGATCTGGTGACTGTGTAGGCCATTTGAGTAAAGCGAACTCATTGTCATATTCAAGAAACTAGTTATCCTGCTGGAAGCAGCCATCACTAGATGGGTACACTGTGGCCATAAAGGTATGAACATGGTCAGCAACATACTCAGGTAGGCTGTGGTGTTTAAACGATACTCAGTTGGTACTACGAGGCCCAAAGTGTGGCAAGAAAATATCCTCCACACCATTAAACCACCAGCAGCAGCAGCCTGAACCACTGATGTAAGGCATGACGGATCCATGCTTTCATTTTGTTTAGGCCAAATTCTGAACTTACCATCCGAATGTCGCAGCAGAAATCGAGACTCGTCAGACCAGGCAACCTTTTTCCAATCTTCTATTGTCCAATTTCGGTGAGCATGTGCAAACTGCAGCCTCATTTCAGAGTTCAGCATTCAGAGATGCTCTTCTGCATTTTTGCTAGTGACCAATCACTTCCCAAAAATTAAGCAGGGGTGTCGCTAGAGCCTCTGTATGTGGCACGAGCCCTAGTACTGATGAAAAGTTAAAAACACCCCTGGAATGATGGTGAATAAACATCACAAGAAGGTTGAGTGCTATAAAGACACCTGCATTATCACCCATGCTTTCAAATAAAGTAATGGTATGCATTAATATTTAATGGTTGTGTGTTTTTGGGACTCATGCTTTGATTCAAACATCATCAGCTACTAAAAAAAAAAACGTATTTTTCACAATCACAGTACAAAGATGGATATCTTCATTGTGAAAGAAAGTTCTGGGGTGTCTTGTTTCTTCTGTCTTTACTCCTGAAATGAATTAATCTCTGAGGGTGTGTTTGCATTATACTGTAAGCAGAGAAAGGAAATGAGCTGGAACTAAGAGAGAGCGAGAGCGCGAGAGAGGCAAACTAATTAGTGGCAAAACTTGTTTCCTCCCCTCCTCTGTACGGTCCAGAAGTTCCCGGAAGACTTAGAGACATTACTCTGGTGTTAGTCTTTAGTAAATCACGCCTGTCCCTCTGTACGGAGTTTGATGTTATCATTAGTTGTTGGAAGCGGGAAGCAGATACATCTTGGTCAGCTTGGGCGCTGTCAGAAAGCGGCCGTCTGATCTCAGCAGTGCTGCTGCCAATATATTAGTCTCACTGCTGGGCAACTTTACAGCTTCATTTTTCTTCTGACATTATAAGCAACTTTCAGAGCCTGGAGTTTGTTGGCAAACTCAAAACATCAAGCATCAACAACAAACCTCTTATGTGTACAGATACTTTTTACACATCAGAAGCGTGTTCGACATGGATGTGCAAATGGCTGCCGTGGTAACAAATAACACCTGCTTGTAAAAGCTAACAAACATAT